GCTCACATCACGCCCAAAGTAAAGGCCAAAGATTACATTATCAAACAGTTACACACACTGAAAGGGAGACTTTGAATAAAATAAATCCCTAAATTCAATAAAGTCTTGATCTAAGACAGTTTAAGTGCACAAAAACTCTCAGGTACGAAGCAGAAGCTGCAACCTGAGAGTCTCTGTGCTTATTTATACTTTTTTTTTGTTAAAAAAAATACCTGAAGCTATTGTTCTATAATCAACACAACTAAAAACAGTACTAATCATTTCAGTTCTACATTATGCTGTTTATTGTGCTTTCCTTATCTACATCTATTGAGCACGAACCTGCTTTTTAAAGACAGAACGGCCTCATTTTCTCTCATCTATGCGCTAGCAGTCTACACCACCTATAAACCTCTCACACTCAGCAATCCACTCACGATTAATGAAGTGCTTACTTAACCAATTTAAACCCTTAATTCCTATTAATTCAACATAATAGCCACCCTCTCCAACAGGAATTAACAACACTCCAGCAGAAACCTTCAAATCTCTACAGGCCAGAAAGAGTCAACCCAGCAAAATCCATATTCTTTGATAAATATGTAACAGTATGTATATCACTGTTAAAATGCATAACCCTCATGTAAGACCCCTATCAAGTCTGCTTTACACCTGTATTACATTTCTCCCTCAATCAGCATTTTTTCTGAGACGGCGGCCTCCCACGAGGAGCAGAAACCATTACAAGGCACTGCAGCTCATTTGCAGAAAGATTGGAGATCACGCTGCCTCGAAAAGTATGTGAAACATTTCTGGGAGCAAAATTGATTTATTCCATTTCTGTGTTTGTATGCAGCATCTGTATCAGTGTATTTAATGTAAATCCCCCCAATCTAGCACCGAGTTGCTGTGCAGGTTGCTGCTTATTGTGCAAGTAAGAAGCAGGGTGATCATACAACACACGGACACCTGTTCTGCTGTAAGATAAAGGTGCACGCGGTATGTCTTTACACAGTATATGATTTTGTCTGGGAGTAAATGATAAAAGCACATATGCGATGTAGCAGATTATATCAATCAAACAAAAACCATTCATTCATCGTTTCCTTTTTCCAATCCACTGATGCTGCTTGTTTAAGCTACAAAGACATTACGCTATTCCTTAGCGAGATAAAAACGCATAAACAAATAAATAAATATTTCTGAGTATTTCAATTTTGACTTAGGAAAAACAGATCAAGCAGAGCCTGTGGCTAGAGGAGCCTGACTGCATGCTGGTGGGGGGTAAAAGACAGCCTGGGGGGGGTGTGGAGGGCGTCTGTTTTTTAATGAGCTGAAACTTTAAATACTGCATAATATATAATACTCCTAAAAATGGATAGTTCATTTCACTCTCCGGATAAGTCGCGGAAAAAACTATTAAAAACCATTTCTCTCTTAATGTCAACAGAGTAAGCATTAAGTATGAATGAAGTGAATGTCATACCGCTGTCATCGACAAGAAAGAAAACGCAAAATAATAATCAACTTGAACTGGAAGAAACAAGAGGTTTGGGCACGAAGATAAGTGCACGAGCTTAAGGGCATCAGCTAAACACAGTGCACGCAAAGACAATGATGTATTCAACTATAACTAGAAATTCAGATTCACTCTATGAAGACAAAGCATCGCCGTTTTTTCTTTTTTTATTGTGTTTAAAATGTGAAGTGCAATTGATCTTGATGAAATTGTCTTATTTATTTATAAGTTGCAGCTTAGTCTTAATGTCAGCTGGAAGCAGAAAAAGAAAGAATAGATGACTGACGTTTCAGCCACCCACTGACAGTAGCTTTGGCAACACTGGCACAGCAGGCATACTCTTTCAGTGGCTTCACTTCCTCCCCCTACACACAGGCACACAAACACATGCACAGATACACAAGTGGGGGAAGTGAAGAAAAAAAAAGAATTATGGTGCCCCTTGTCATCCCCTGGGTAAGAGAAACACCATAATAGATTTTTAATGGCTATCTGCTCACCGAAAGAAAAAGGAAAGGTTGTGTTTTGAATGTCAGTGACAGGAGGTCAGCAATTACAAAGTGCAGGTAAAAAATAAAGCAAACTTTTCCGTAGCCTTTCTTTTTCAAAGTTGATCAAAGCGTGCGCATGTTTACAACATCAGATGTCTCCAGATGAAACGCAATGATTCTCACGTCACATTATAATTCAGAAAGTGCCGTTTGACAGTAAACACTGTGACAATGTTGTCTTGACTCTGCTGCATAAACATGTAATTCCAGCATGATCCTTAAAGTGATCTGAGTGATGGCTCAGGTACCCCGCTGTTCATGGAGCAAGCATGGAGACGGTGCTGGTGGCCGATCCGGAGGCTTAATAATGATAACCTCGCCAGTATTAGCTGCAGGGGTTGTTCACACAATAATTGTTTCTGCCAAGCCATATATCTATATGACAGAGGAAAAGCTGGTGTGACTCTCCTGCTAAATAACTGATTTACGGAGCGGCTGCGTCAACTATTTCAGAGATCGTTTGTTCTTTTTTTTCCTTTTTCCTCTGAAGAAACTGTGAACTTATTAGCTAATTAGAAGATAATTACAAGTCTCTGCAAGTTGATTAGCAATTTCACTGCTGAACATTAACAACTTACAGAAAGACCGCACTCAATTTCAGCACTTGTTTTGCCTTACTTACCTAAATTCTAAATAGTATAAGTATTTAAAGATTTCACCTTGGCAAAACTTATTACCAGCTCCAGCGTGCAATTAAACTTGCCGAACAGGCATTAATTCTTTGTTCATTACCACATTAAATGCATGTAGGGTAATTTGACACTTCAATACAAGACTGCACGATTACGGCTATTAAAAGGCATCACTTTCGTACCAAAGGCAGGCGCATTTTGTTAATTTGCACAAGTCCATCTGCAGTCCCGGCATCCTGCACCCACTGTGGTGGTGACTAAAGTTTGATATGTAATGCTAATCCTTAGCCCGAGCTGGAAGGGGTCGCTCCCCCGCAGTTTAGAGTGACTCAAAGGTGAAGTCCTGAAAACAAATACATCGTACTCAGATGCTCCGCAGTTTACATTTCACTGACGCACATCGGCCCGTATTAGCAGCGCACAAAGCTGCAGTCACTTCCAACCCCGTGCAATTGTGTCTGGCTATACGGCAGTATCAATGCAGCTCGTGGGTCAAAGGGTCAATGAGTAATTAAGACATGGTTGCCTGAGCATTCCCCATGCACACTTTCAGTCCTGATGAAAGGTTGGCAATGAAAGGAGGGGGATTTAAGTGCAGCCTGATACGAAGGATCAGATTTCCATAAGTGTGTCTAAATGTTCCTTGTTCAAGGCAATTAGTATGATTAAAGAGATAGCGAGGGGTCATCACGCTGTTTAAGAGGATTTTGCACATGAATTCTGCATGAGGTTTTCAACAAAGCAAATGCTGCATTGCTTACAATAAAAGCCTTTAAGCTAGTCGTATTTTTAAAGTGTTGCCGAGGCACCGTCTAAATTACTGTACATTTCAAGACAGATTCAGCAAGAGAAATGATCATTTATTACTTTTTTTTGTGACGTGGGTGTTAAAGTAAAAATGTGGTCAGGCGGCATGTAAATGTCTAGTTAAATCTTCTCACATAAGATGATCATGAGGATGCAGAACATTTGTAACAACACGCAGGCAAGTAATCGTAGCCTTCAACTCCAGCGAAGGTCACAAGGTGCATTGATTCCCGTGTACGACAAGAAATTATTCCTAGAGTTTCATTGTTGCTAAAAATTGAAGAGGCCAAGGCCTGAAAATTGAGGTCGCTGATAAACGCTATTAGTAGGAGATGCTGAGAGGAGAAATCAATATGGCAGTTTGTCAACCTGCCTCTCAGAGGGAGGGGAACTCTGCAGCTGGGGTAAGTGTGCCCTGTCAGCAAAGCACATTACCAGAAATCAAAGGCCAGAGAAGGCCCGAAGGAAGGGATGTAGATGTCTCTCTACAAAGGCCACACTTTGGTAATTAAAACCTATTTTCTCAGACCTGTTGTATCACTGGTTTTTCTCTAACACTATTGACTATCTGTTGAGTGGAGGGTGATCACTAATTTAACTTTAAATAAATGAGCTGTGGCCATTTAGATTCCTGTACCTGTCACACAAAATTAAGCAAAAGACATCAAATAAATTATGTCACTTCATATCACTTACATCAAGTCTTGAAGGAAACATCTGACAAACTTAAGCTATGTTTTTTCAACAGGCGACATTGAGAAGCTTCTCGTTTCCAACGCGTGTAAGTACAAGTGCCATAAAAACCAAACATTATATCATCTCCTTTCTGCCATTCTCAATAATTTGATTTCATAATGTCTCCTCTCCTTTTGCAATAAAACCAAGATGAAAAACCTCCATCGCTCCATACTTCAGTCTATTCTTGAGGTATTCTTAAGCTTTCTGCTAAAGAATAATATAGTACAAGAACTGAACTTCAACTTTAAATATTTAATAGTACTTAAACACAACTGAATCTATGCAGTCCAAGAAGCGCATCTCAGGGGTCCAGGCCTACCCTGGAAACTCAGTGTCCCTTAAGTTGAATTCTAGTGATACACTTACTCTTCAACCATAAGTTGAACTAGGTCATACAATTTGGTAAACACCTGTCTCTCACTGATAAGTTATAGCAGTGCAAACTCAGTATAATCATTCGTTCATGGCAGTTTAGTCTTTCTGCAGCATTTGTGGTACCCAGCACGACTGAGGACGACACCGAACAGGTGAGGCTATGCAGGTCAGACTTTGGGAAGTACCCAAACCAGATAGTTTTAAAGCACGAGTCTACTTGGAAATGACAAAACAAATGGGAAAATGTTGAAGATCTTGTGTGCCCACAGTCAATGTTCTAGACCGTGGTGAGATTGCTGATCCACTTCTGTAACTGATTGTCTCCTGTTTTGCTTCTGCAATCTTTGACAGATATTTTTGCACATTTATAAGTGCAGCTACATTTCTCTGTTAGTTTACAATGTTTGTCTGGTTATAATTGTGCATAGCTTTTTTTCCTTGAAAAAAAAAAGCAAACTTGAGCAGAATGACCCCATGTCAAAGTTGGTTGCTCGTCCAGTCAATATGATGTGCCACTCAGCTAGAGCACTACTGACATGACGGTAAAGGGGACCTGTTATGTTCACTTCCAGCTCCATGTTTTTATTCTTGCTTGACTCATGCTTAAAAATAATCCATATCACAATCTGATTGCAAAGCTCCCTGACAGGACAGGATTTTGAAAAATTGATTTTAAAAAATCCATATTTTTCTTATGCTCTGCCTTGGGACACTTTTTTTACTATCTGAAATAAGCAGTTTTCTCTCTGGTTCCCCTTCTGATTGGCTGCTCAGATCTGATCAGTGGGTAGGGCTTCTTTGCTCACACTCACAGGTATGTGCCTGAGATCAAACTAAGCCAACAGTAGCAAAAATGCAACTTAGTGTTCAGAGCAGTCTGACTTCAAAGCATTCATTCACAGGGATTGCTTGAATGTAAGATGACCTCACTATTAAACTCTGTATAACAGGAGCGTCAATAATTAAAATAGCATATAGGACCAAAAGCAAAGAAAAAAAAACACAAAGGCTCCTCTTTAATGGTTTCAAAAATACAGCAGCTTGGTAGATAATATCCTCCTGAAAACACATTCAAGTTACTTTGTTTCCTCTTCACTTCAGTACTGTGCACCTTCCTCCTCTTTGTAGGCAAAATAGACTGTAACAGGTCCGACACTCGTCTGTACTGTTTCTGATGCTCCCACCACCATCCAGCAGCCAATGCCATAGGCCAAACAAGGGATACCTGCAGTTTAAAGGGACACTGAATATATGGACTCTGTTGTATTGGAAATAAAATACAAGTATGTAACAATGACAGCAACGTGGAAGAAATACTGACCCAGATTAATAACTTTTAACATGGTGAAAAATCTGTCTTCAAAATCCAGATTCTGAGGAGGCGCTTTAGTGCAGTGATATTTAATAAAGGGGAAACATCCCGTTCTCAGAATGTGGTAGTTGGATCCCTGAACTCTCCAATTAAAGTTTGACATTCCAAACTGGTCATTGTGGACGGAGCTGTAGCGGACACAGTATGAAGTCCACGGAGGAAGTCTGCGCTGCTGCAGGTGACAGGTTAACACCTCCGAAGCAGCTGGCCGCGGACCTGTCCTGCCTAACGTGCTAGGAAACAGAGCGATCTTCAGAAAGAGGCTGTGGGTCTTCTTCAAAAACTCCTTCATGGTTTTAAAGATTCGTATTTTAGCATTTGGACTGCAGAAGGACACACCTATAACTAGCCACACTTGGAATATACCAACGTTTTAAGAGTGAAAATACCAAGTTGTAACACATCAAAGCAGCAGCTGACATGAGATATGCTAAAGCTAGCAAGAAAACTCCCGTACGATTTGCGAGCTTAAATCCTCAGACCATGTCTGAGATGTTCCAACACTGACCTATACACCTGACGTGTCTCTGTAGAAATGCTGAATTCGCACACATGTATCTAAACCACCTGTGAGAAGAAGAGCAGCTTTCATCTGGTTGGTTTTCTGTTTCTGTTGTGCTTCTTGCGTCTGACCTCGTACCGCGGCTTAACTCATCCGGCTAGAAACGCGTCTCTACGAACCCGTTCCTCTTTAACATAATTAACTTCAGTCTGGTATTTATTTATATCAAGTACTCGCCGGTTCATTCAATATAGGACTTATATCCTTTATAAGAATTTATAGACTGCCACGTGTTCAACAACCCTGTAAAACGACTAAACGTAAAGTTATTTTGTTCTTTATACTTCTACCGTTATTTGCCACAAAAAAATAAGCATGAAAACGACAAATGTATGTTCTAGCTACCAAAAGACCTCTTCAAAATTAACCACCACTGACCCCAGTGCCAATAGGCTAATAAGTGTTTTTGTTGGTTCCATGACCACACCACCTACTCCTTTAAAATCCACTTAAAACCACCACAGCAACTGCTGAAGCATTTCCACGGTTCAGTGAACTGCTGTAGATCAGGACCATGGACAGCAGTCTATAAACTACGTGATAATTAAACACCGCAAGTAAGCCATAATATATACATATACACATATGCTATATTTAATACATGCGCTCATCATTTTTGTTTCTTTTATTATTTACTCGTATTTTGAAAATGTTTTTAAAAACCTCTTTAAGAACAGACATTTTAATTTATCTTTGGCTATAAATTTTGTCGTATGTGATGTGATTTTTGTTACATGTAATAAAATACCCCCCCCCCCAAAAAAAAATAAACAAACATGTTTTTGTTTTTTTTAAATTTGCGTTTTAGTTCATGTTATTTGAATATATCGTTGCCTGTCTTCCTTTTAGCATTTCAGTCGTTTGTGCAGCACTTACCTGCAGGAAGGGGGCCATATAATAAAGCTTGATTGATTCATTGATTGACCGTAATTTGTCAGGGTGATTGGTAATGCCTTAACAACTTCACAAACCAACCGAAATCCCATCTGCATGATTTATAAATGATTTGCTAAATAGTTTAGGTCCAATTCTGTGTGAAATGCAAATAGATAATAATTAAGTGATGTGAAAATAAATTACAGATGTATTTGTCCCAGATGTTTTCAGTGTCTTAAAATATTATTTCTGAAGTCAAATATATGTGAAAATAATGCACACATTCAAATGTAATTCTAGTCTCTGGATTTAAAGGTGTAACAGAGCCACTGGGGTGCTCAATCCTCCATAAGAATTAGTCCTGTGAAGTTTTTCCATTATCACATGTTGTCTTTTTTGCAATACAACTGTCTATTTGAACAGAGGGGGGTAAAGCATGACTATGAGTGCTTTTCCTGGAAATCTAAAATTTTATGTGCCTTAAAAAATGTACATCAAGTAAGGCTCTTGGATAAAATTAACATATATAAATCCTTGATACAAATTACAAAATAAAAATTAAGTACGATTTAAATGTTTTTTTGCAATCTCAAATCCACACGCATCGTCTCTACTTAGAAAGTCAACATTCACAGTCCAGTGAGGACCAGACTGAAACACTGTCATGTCACCATATGAGGCGAGTTGTTTGAAATTGTCAGCTTCCAGATGAGGACTTTAACAATCAAACTAGTTGACTCTAACCTAATTTAATAAAAATCAACCACAGTAGTGCATGGCCCAATTCGTACAGAAGAAAGGTATTCTGGGAGATCCTTGTGTATTGTGACACCAAACGCAAATAGACTTCTGTAACAGAATATATATATATATATATACATTCTGTCACAGATATACTGTATATATCTGTACCAGAAGCATTTGACTTGGCAGAAGAAGCATACATTGCTATATACACACATTTGACTTCTTTTTATGTACACACTTTTTGATTTACACATGCAAATTCCTTCTGCATAGGTTTCTGGCAGTGTAATCTTTGTTTATAGTAAAGTATATTCAGGCTTTTGAAACTTTTTACAAAGCCAGTGATTTTACAGATTTGTGATATATTTAGGCTTTTTTTTCAGGAATTTATTTGGAAAGTCCTTCAATCATCTTCAGAGTAGACATATTTAGTTATATTTAGTGATTTTGGAAAAGCAAGTCAGCAACACTGATAATGGAACTATCTAAGATGCAGGTTTAGCCTCCCGTTGAAGCTTGTTCTGAGTCATCTGCAGTATATCTTCTATTTCCTTAATCACCTCCTTCAAGTAAAGCAGACAGAAAAGGAAGCAAACTTAGAGTATTACCTATTATTATTCCATAAAATCATCAACATTAACTTGAAAATATATTCTTATTAGGATATTTATGAGTAGTGATCATGCTTTCAGTTTCACTGACACACAAGTTTCATGACAAATAGATGAGGAGAGATCATTAACTCATTAACATGGTACCATGAAATTGGTTTCTCCTTGGCTTTTAGGGATTGATATTTCCTGATGAATGACTGACAGATGCCGAGCAAAGGTCGCGAGAGCTCTCTGGAGATCCTCTGAGACTGTTCTATTAACGACACCACAAACAAACGAGTTTACTAATGATCCCCAAGTCGCCAGCTAAGAAACAATCACCTTGTTCATCTGATAGTGGTGGTTAAATGAAACTTTCAGCAGACAACATCTTCGCTCTTTAGGGGGATGAGCACAGCTTGATTTAACTGTTACAGCATTGTGGAAGCGAAAGGATTTGTGTGATAAATATGTTAAATAACCCTCTGCTTAACAACTTTTAGAGTTTGTAGCATTACCAAAGCTAGAGGTGGCATCTTAATCCTCTGAAAGAATTGATTTTACTCTTAGCCATGTGAAGTCTTTCACCTAATCGCCTATTATCTTCTTTGGAAGGTGATCGCCTTTTTGAACAGAGGAGAGTAAGGCTCCATCTCCCGGGGATGAGCCTCAAATTTTATACACATATATGCAGCAAAAAAACAAAAATCTTATTCTCTTCCACATTATGTTTGTCCATATTTCTGACTTAAAATAATAACAGATCAGCTTATGGTTTGTCTATAAAGAAAGAAAGTTCATAACTCATGTTTTCTTGTATGGATCTGGTGTAGTAAGACATACTTACATCATTCCAATACTGCTTCGCTTACTGCTGTCAAAAAAAGCGAAAACTGTGCCTTGCTTTGTCTGAAACGCAAGCAACAAAAAACAGAGAAAAATAAAGCTTCATCATTGTATAGCAAAGAGTACTAACTATTAGTGCATTTCAACCCTGCTTTAAATCTAAGCTCTTTAAATTCACACCTTTTCTGTATGTTGCCCTCCCTCCATATGCTGTTGTACTCATTAAAACCTGAAAACAGACTCTGATGTGTAAAATCTGTGCAGTTTCCCGTTGTATTAACCATATAACAGCAACAGTGGAAATGATGATAGAAAAGCGTGCCGATCAATTCTGAATTGTTACCTTTTTGTTAAATCTTATGCCATGGGCCTTGCACATCATAAGGAACACCTTATTGTATAACATGGAAAGGTCAGAGTGAAATAAGTGGTTCCCAATAACTGCACAAAGATTTCCAACTGGAGCCTGGACAAAAAAAAAATAGACAGAGAGAAAGAAAGAAAAAAGAAAACAGCAGAAAATGTGAGTGATGACTGTTTGTCAATTAATTCATTGAATCCAATAATTTAAAGTTTGATTATATTTGGCAGCTAAGTATGGTGGTGGTGTGTGAAATAGATAGAGCAGAAATGGCTAAACCCCAGACATGTCCTTAGGGTCACTGCTGAATTTGTGTGTGTGATTAGTGAACGTGATGAGTACGGGGCACATGTGGTAAACTGTTGGGCCTTTCTTAATTAACTGCAGGGAGGAACAATTAATGCTTAGAAGACATGCCAAACACAAGATGAGCTTAATTGTACGACACCAATCAAAGAAACTACAGGTTGGGGACTGCAGATTTTTTTCATTCAATCTAAGATCAAAGCATTAGTGAATCCACAAAAGGAATACTCACTGCACACAACATTCTGTATCACCGTAATAGAGGGATTCTGTTTGCATGTGTCATAAGTAACACCAGAGAGGTTGATTACTTAAAAGTGGCAGGGCTTAGGAGGATAAAAATGTTCCTGCTTCTCAGCCACCTTTGGGAGACTTAAAGAGTAGGCCTAAGCCCCCGTGAGCTCAGGAGATAGCCCATAACTTGCTGTGAAGGGTGTGTGTTTGCAGTTGTCAGATGCAGGGCCCTCACACAACAATAAAAGCGTCCAACTGGGATTTAATTGTGTTTGTAATATGCAGGGCCTTAATGACGGCCAGCGCCGAAGCCATTAACCACTGCAGTGGCTCAACTGCTGTACTGAAGCACCAGGCCACCAACTAAATGAATGTTTGATAAAATAATACAAGTCGCAGATCAACAAGCGTAAACTCGGGCATACTGCTAATAAAAGAACTCTATTGTTTAAGGCCTGGCACCAGGTTGATGAGGTGTTCAAGCATGCATACACATGCATAATGAAAATGGTATGAATTATTAATGTGTTGATTATTTAGGCTCATCTATCAAAATGATAATGAATTCAGCACCTAAACACCAATTGAGCTCGGTGCATAATTACAGTATTTAGTTGTATTTAACAATAATGAAGAGCAAAACGTTGATCTATCTTTGTGATTACTGAAAGGCTACGAATAGCCTCCATAGTCTCAGGCTGCTTTTTTGTCGCAGAAACTACGTGACGGCATCATTTGATTTAAGAAGAAAAAGAAAAAAGTGTGAATTTAAATTATAGCATCTAAACTCAACACACTGATAGGTGAGTAAAGACATAATTTAAACTGCAAATATAAGCAAATATAAGACGGTACTTTGGGCACGATCTGGTGTTCAAAGCATTTCTCGCTGATTGGCATTGGCGCTTCTAAACAGCCTGTGCGGCAATTCAGCGTTCCTCCAGTCATCATCAGAAGCATCTGGGTCATGGCCAGCTGGTTACTGTATGTGATGTCCAGATCAACAGCCCACACCTGCAAACAAGACGTCGTGAACTCTGTGTCATGGAGAGAAGACAAAACTCTATAGACTTAATCATTTCAATTTAATCACAAAAAAAAATGGAAC